GCGCAACACCTCAAAACGACTCTTAAAAAAATATGCCAACTGACCCAGCCTGGAGACAAACCAGCGACCTTCTTGCTCAAAGAGAAACAGGTTTACTCTGTGTTTTTGTCTCATAGGAGTAGAGGTTTACAAGGTGCGGACAAGCTGAGTTAAATTTGCTTAGAGAAACGTTGCTGCTGTCAAACATGGTTTGCTTCACTAAGTCAGTTTAATGGTGAAGGGATTGATCAAATGTGCCTATTTTATTTTGATACATTTGGGGCTGATGTATTTTGTAGTTTATTTTGATACATGTAAAACACGAGGCATTTGGTATTTTATTTTAAAATATATTTCAATGTATTTTTGCCCAACCCTGATATAAAAATTAAGGATAACTACAGTAAGAATGTTGCTCAATGTAATTGCGAAATGGCATTACACAGTAACTAAATGCACTACAGAACGTTTTCAGGCACATTCACAAATTGCATGTCTTATATCAGTGCTCCAATCACTGCTGGACATGTGTCGCTTGTTACTCAGGGTTCAAAGTGCATAACTTAGGAATTAACAAATCGTCACATCTAGATACCCTTTCACCTTTTTTGAGAGATTTTTAGGTCACTTACAAAGATGTAAATGTGCTCAACCTGCTTCCTGTTGGCTTATTATAGGTGCAAATGTGTTCACATTAAATTAGTCTCACATTTTAATTTATATTATACGGGAAAATAATTATTCATTCATTTTTTTTTCAGCTTAGTCCCTTTATTAAACCGGTGGTCGCCACATCGGAATGAACCGCCAATTTATCCAGCATATGTTTTACGCAGCGGATGCCCTTCCAGCTGCAACCCATATCTGGGAAACATCCATACACACTCATTCACACTAATACACTACAGGCAATTTTAGCCTACCCAATTCACCTGTACCGCATGTCTTTGGACTGTTGGGGAAATCGGAGCACCCGGTGGAAAGGAAACCCACACGAATGCAGGGAGAACATGCAAACTCCACACAGAAACGCCAACTGACCCAACAGAGGCTCAAACCAGCAACTTTTTTGCTGTGAGGCGACAGCACTAAATACTGCGCCACTGCATCACCGGTGAACGAATTATCACAATATAATAGTCCCTACTCTTGTGTACTTTTATAAGAGCTATGCTTTACTCACACTCTGAGTAGTATTTAGAACAGATACTTTTACTCTACTTGCACTACTTTTTTGGCATGCAATGGTACTTTTACTTGAGTTTGAATTTTCAGTATACTCCTCTTTACTGCAGTGCAGTCATATTTAACATTCTTTGGTGCGCAACATCCGGCCAATTTAATAGGAATCTATAATTGGGAATTTTACATAAGGGGGGAAAGATTTCTCCAGCCAAATTTTACAGAGTTGAACCACATGTATCTTTTCCAGCCTGTGAAATGTTCTCTTTTGTAACAACACAAAGTTTAGTTTTATAGCACAGAGTTCATAAAAAGACTACTATAAATTTGTGATACTTGTCCTAGTTGAAAGTACAGCAGCGTGAATGGCATTAGAGAGCTAAAGTGATTTTTATTTTAGTATATTGTGAATGCGAACATTCACATGGATGACTTTAGCAGCATGCATTTTTGATCCACATTTACTTTCATTATTTTATAAATATGCACTAGTTGCAATTATATGAACTTTAGGTTAGAAATGGCATAGTGTTTCTCAACCACAATTCTGGAGGACCACCAACACTGCATGTTTTGGATGTCTCTTTTGACTGTTACACCCATTACAAGTCCTTCGGTCGCTGCTAATGAGCTGATGATCTGAATCAGGAGTGTTTGATTAAGAAGAGGTGGAAAATCGGCAGAGCAGTTGGTCCTCCTGGAACATGGTTTAGAAACTCTGGCATAGAGAATATGTAAATAAATACTAACAAGAATAAAATGTTGTGTGTAGTTTCAGTAAATCTTCAATAAACAACATCTTCAATGTGATTCTGCACCTCTAGTAGCCATCGTGTGTGCTGAACATCTCCATCCCACATTTGGTACGGACTGGGCCCGATGTGGTTCAGAACCAGGTAATCCAGTCCTCCAAGCTGTTCGATGGCATACTTCACCACAAGATCGGCATCAGAGGGGTTGGCCATGTCCGCAGGGATGTAGAAAGCCTTTTGAGCCCCCATTTCCCGGCACTTGCTCACAACCTGAGTCAGATTAAACATATTGAAGCAATCGAATATGCTTAAAGCATGAATGATAGCAGAAACTCAACTGACCTGTTCTAACACATTTCCTCTCCTCGCGGTGATTACGATTTGAGCTCCTAAACGTGCATAATGGTACGCCAACTGCTCACCAATGCCAGTACTGGCACCAGTCACCAGCACCCGGGCACCTTTTAGTGACTCTAAAAAAAACAACATATTTCACTGTATGACAGTCGTTACATAAACAATGCAAAGACTGTGTTCAATGTTCACTGCTTTAAAGGGCAAAAGATAATTCCAGCTTTCTTTTATCACAATATTGGTGTTTAGGGATGGTCTTTTCCAATTGGTCACGTTTATTGTGTGGAAAGTTACTTTAAACTTTTTTCAAAAGCCTCTTTGTATTCTGACAAATGCTCTCTGGCAATTCATTATTTTACAGGCATAACTGCTAACCTGTGGGGCAGAGATACTCTGTTACTTTTTACGTAAGAATTGCATAAATGTCATAGCAGACGGCTGATTTAATATTTTAATAAATACATTGACTATTTATACATCTGTGAGCCGATACTTGGTGGTTTCAGAACTTTTTTTCTGAAAAGGCATGGAAGTTCATGTTGATAGCTATTAAATTAAGATATCACAGATTTGTACAAATCTATCACGAGTTGCCAAACGAATAAAATCCATTTTTCATGACCCTAACAGGAAATAAAGTGCAATATTAAGCTCTATTTTAAACGTTTTATGAATAGGCCAGTTCCCTAGGGGCAGGTCATGTTTCTTTATTTAACATACTTGACTGCTCACTTGCACGTAGTGATAAGATGGCAAAAAATTTAATCTGTAGTGGCAATAAAATATTCATTTCTTCACATTGACAAATTCTATGCTATGCTTCTTTACACAAACTAGCTGATTGAGTCACACAAATAAATAACAACTGCAGATATGTTTTTTAAATATGAAAAACTTATTCATCTTATCTTATTTGCTAACAAAAAATTTTATTGTATGTAGTTATGGGACTATAACCATTTTTAAGGTATACCGCGGTTCGGAAAAGTCAAGGTTTTAAAACCGTAAACATTTTTTGCTGTACCATTCCAAAGATATGTGTATTATTTTTTATTTATGTTTTTTTATGTTTTTTTTTTTTTTTTTTTTAGGACTACAGAATGTCCAGCAGAAAAGATATTCAAAGACGCAGTTTTAAATTGTAAAGAAATCTGTGTTTTTAAAACAAATAAAGACAGCAGAAGTCAATGATTAATTTGAATTATTCAGCCTGACAGTTTCGGCTACTGCTCCGAAATATTTTAAATGTTCCTCAAAATAAAATATATCGTGTTCAAATGGGAAATAAGTTTTTGTTTTTAACCCCAACATTTAAAAAGAATATATTTTATTTTAGAGCAGCAATTACAATACCACAAAACCGTGATATTTTATCCAAAGTTATGCCTAATTCTATGTTTTCTGTGGATGTTGATGTCAAACTCCAACAGTATTGCAGATTTATAACATTTTAAATGCTTGCTGTTTTATAGACCTGTCACCTGGGGTTTGAGGATCGAATTAAAATAATTTTAAGAGAAAAAAAGTACTTTAAGAAATAGTGTGAATTTAACACGTAGATAAATACATTTATTACACTCTCAGAAATAAAGGTATGCATGCTGTCACTGGGGTGGTACCTTTTCAAAAGGTACAGATTCTAACTTAAAGGCTCCATATTGGTACCTAAAAAAATTATATTATATTAGGAACACTTTTGTACTTTTTAGTAATGTGTACCCTTAAGGTATTAATATATACATTTAAGCACAAATTTGTACCTTTTGAAAAGGTACCACCCCAGTGACAGCCTTTGGAGGCCTACCTTCTGAGAGTGTAGATAGGCTATATTAGTTTTTTGGGTCCACAAATCTTTCCACAAGCTTTCCCACCACTTTGTAGCATAGACTACTTTCTAAATAGCTGTAAAGACATATCACTTATCAATTTACAGACAATAGAATACATTTTACAGCACGTAGATAAACATAAAGGCTGTTAAACTCACCCTCATTAAATGATGGAGCACTCCATCGGACCGCAATGAACGCGACGCATATGCTGCAAAGCAGTAATTTGGCATAAAGCTTCATTTGAAGGAATATGGCAAATCTGTGCACAGCTTACAAAATGCACAACTTTGTAAAGTCAGCAGTCGACACCAAGAGAACAGGCAGAACAGGTTTTTAAATCTAAGTTCAGACAGGCGGAGCTAGTGCCAAAGTACAATCCGGCTTTAGATAGTCATCTTGGCAGCTAGCACTTAATGCGTTTTGTAACTTCTGTTAATATTGTGTTGTAATAATCAGTCATTCTTGTTTTATTTGCATTATAACGTTAATATTGTGGTTGGGTTTATAAATTCGGAACGACCTGACAGACTATGAAATACAAACCGAAAGTAAGGATAAAAACATAATTATTATTCACTTAGGCTTACTTTTTACTTTTTTAAACTTACTTTTATTATCGTTGGCGACTCTGCTAAAGATTCTTTTTTAATTAATATTACACATACAATCTAAAAAAACGTGATTTTAAAATTAGTCAATCGATCTGAGCCACAGGAAAAACGTGGCGGCACTTTCACCAAATATATAAAACCGAATTGTCTTTTAATGTAACACCCTTCTACTTTTAATGCTTATATATATATAGAATATTCATATGTTCAAAAATACTCAAACATATAATTATTACGTTTTATATGTTCGTCGTTCGTTTTGTCGAATGTGCAGATCTACAGCTGGATTCAAAACGAACTTTATTGCTACCATTTCGGTTTGCTAGAGCAAATGCCCTTGTCGGTGAAGCTCGCTGACAAAATAGTAAAACAAAGCATCCTGTGAAGTGTTTTGATACGAAATATTGTTCTTTAGAGCATAATTTTGCTTTTAAAATATGGCTGCTAAGATTTTCCCTGTCGTCAAGTAAGTGTTTATGTGTTGTTTTTGTATCTGAAGCTGGTTGCTAACTAAGTTAGCACACAAGTGTCTGTTTGGGTTTAAGTGTTTTTTTATACTTTATACATTATTATACTTTATATAATTATATTATATATCTATATCTGTATTTACATTAAAATTAAATTACCTCGTATTTTAGTTGCTATTTTTTACCTATAATGTCGTTTAAATATAGCTAGCATGCTAATTACTCAATTCAGCAATAACTTTGACAGTAAAAATGTTAAATCCTGTTTTGTATTAGAGTTAATCATATATATTTTAAGTAATCATCATATATTTGGGGTCATTATAACCTGAGAAGCTTGTAAACATGCTCTCTTTCCTTCAGCTTTAACGTACTTTGAATGGCTGTATTTGTGATGAAGGTAAAGTTGTTTCCAGTCAAATAAATAGTGCTAATGTTGTTTTCGAGTCATACTTGCATATGATTTCAGACAGAACCTTCAAAATAATAGAGGTAAAGTTGGTTTTATATTTAGACATTCTCCTCGATAATATAATTATCTTTGCAAATTTTAAATGGGGAAATCATACTAGCAGAATTAGGATATCTTGCGTCCAAAAAAAAAAAAAAAAAAAGTTAAGAAAACGGCCGTTTTTCGGTGTTTCTTTTGATTACAAAAAAACATGATTTTAATAATAACTTTTAATCATTATATATATATATATATATATATATATATATATATATATATATATATATATATATATATATATATGTATATGTATGTGTGTGTGTGTATATAAATAATAACTATACTATTTATATAATTACAAAGTTTACATATTCTGTCATTTGATCAGTTATGAGGCTTACATTCATTGCATATGCATAAATTAAATAAAAACGTAAATTAGCAGTATTATTAGACTTTTGTCAATAAAATAAGGTCATAGTTCGCTGCCAAACATTGTTGCTGTGCACGCTGTCAAGCTGTGCACCTGATGCTGAGCAAAAATAGCCATTTCCGAGTAGCACCTGGTTTGCATGATTGTTTCCGAGCAAGGCCTTGACAGTAATAATAATAATAATATTATTATTATTAATAATAATTTATGTTTATAGTTCACTACCAAACTTATTGCTGCTGTACACCTGATGCTGAGCAAAGATATACATCTGTGAGCAGCACCTGGTTTCCATGATTGTTTCTGAGCTACTGTAGGCTTAAATAATATAATTATTATTGTTATTATTAATAATAATCATTTTAGCACGTGATGCCCACAGAGAGCACTATGCCAAATGAAGTTCTGTTTAACCTATTTCTGCTTAAATTGTAGAAAATCTTTAAAACGACATGACTAATCAAGACTTTTATTTGGAGAATTACACTTATTAATAACTTAGTTCTTATAAACGATCATTATATAAAATACATCATTTACAGATCTACTGAAGAATAAGACGAATTACATCAATAACTATAATATATTAAGATTTTATATAAACTATAAATAAGAACATTTAAAGTAATAGAACATTATCTGTAAAACAAATCTAAACTGTTATATAGGCTACAGGCTAAATAAAGGCACCTTGTCAGAGATTTACATCGTGTGCGTTAAAGAGGCAATGAATGTAAGCCTGATAACTGATCAAATGACAGAATATGTAAACTTAGTTTATATAATTATATACATATAACTAAATATTAATAATTCAAAGCCTGGGTATTGTCCTCAGAGGGCTCTTATTTTGGGGGCTACGTCACAAGCTCAGATTTGGTTGACCAATCAGAGGAAAATGGGCATTTTAGCACCGCCTACATGAGAATAATGAATTTTAATTGTTTTTTTTTTTTTTAGTTAAAAAATGGATATGGATTTAATTTAGCAGCCAATGATTATCAAAGTACAGCATTGTTTACAGTAAATTTGATGGTGCTAATGTTGTTTTGAAGTCATACTTCCATGCTAATTCTGACCTAATATTCAAATTAGCATGGAAAGCAATAGAAACAGTTAAATAAAGGAATGTGCAAATATAAAACCAACTTTACCTCATTGTATTTGTGTTTCTTTATGTTTTAGGTTTGCAACAAAAGTGACCATTGCGGGAGGAGCCCTGTATGTGGCATATGATTCAGGACTTCTTGGAGGTAGTAATGAGGGATCTGTGGCCTTGGCCCGAGCTAAATCAGCCATACCACCTGCTGTGGATGAGTGGATGAAGTACTTTGGCTTCGAGGTATGAAAAGAAATGAAACTAAGTGTATGATTGATACCGAAAGTAGAACTTGACTTTTTGATGAAGTGTAAGGCTACAGTATATGGCAGATGGCAGCACTGACATTATTGAATAAAAAGAGAGATAGCGGGGAAGTCTTTTGGGTAATTAAATAGTCTTGATGCACAGAAGACTGTTTACATATGGTATTAAAATGCATCGCAACACCTTCACACAAAACTCACGATTTCAGATTTTAAAAAAAGAGCATTTCATAAACTAAGGATGAAACATTTACACACAAATGAATCACAGTTTCATGGTTTTCATTGTTGACGCGCTAGACTCAGATGGAGGGCAGGAAGTGATTCTCCTACATAGGAATCGCTATCAGAACATCAATTGTTCTGCAAACAAATGTTTGCATATGTATGTAGACTGTATATATCAAGTATGTAGACTGCGTCCATGCTTTTGTATGCTTTCATGTCTGCGTGGGGAAAAACTTGTAATTTATAATAAACATGTTTTTGAACCGCATAGTAAAGTGTATAACGTGTTTAACTCTGTTAACGGATGCTATAAAATACTGTAGCATAGTACACTAATAGACTGTAATAAATACTGTAACGTTAGTATAATCTGTGGTGCATGGTAATGGTGTTATAGTGTAGAAAACTTAAGCCTATTCAATAATTTGTTTATTGCTACAGTTGTGTCATACCACAGCAACAATATAATTACTACGACAGTTTAATTCAAGTAATTATTTATTGTATGCTTCCAGACACTAGTATTTACTATGGTATTTTTTCATGAAATGTAATATATTTTAAATATAAAAATATTTTAGTTCAGTGGAAAACTCGGTCCTCTTCATGATATAAGGATCACGCTCGGCATATGTGGTTATTTTCTATTTATATCTTCTTTAAAATATGGTATAAATCCCAAAAAATGAAAACTTTCTTCTATGTCTCTCATTCATTCATTCATCATTCACCATAACCATGCGATTGAAAACAACCTTTTTTAATTGATTATTTATCTCTGCTCAGTAACCAAATAATACAGCTCAAAATAAAATTAAAAGAAAGAAATGTCAATTTATCTCTTTGAATTGAAGAAAAGTGAAAACTTTTTCAATTTAAACCCAATTAATATGTTAACAATGAAAACAAAATGATTTTGTCTATTTGGGAATTAATATACGATGTAGATAAAGAAAGCAGTCAAAGGATGCTGGACAAACGCTTTTTTGATCAACTGTTATACAAAATTGTTCTGTATGTTCATTTTGTGGATTTATTTAAACTTTTTGGACCCAAGTAGTGTAAAAAGAAAACTAGTTAGCTTTTGACTTCAGTATTATAGCTACCTCACCTTTTGAAAATTAAAAAGGATATCTGCGGGGCCTTAAAATGTCTTAAATCTCAAAAGCTAAATTGTAGACCTTAAAAAGTATAAAATATTCTGAAATCTTGTGTTGTTGGTCTTAAATCTTTTTTTTTATTTTTCCTTTGTTCATTTATAGCTACCCAATCTGGCCATTGACATGCATACAATCACCAACAGTACATCTCAATAAAACTTAATATTTAAAAATAGCATTTAATTATTTTCGTTAAAGTAACATTTGCTTAAGAGTTCTTAAGTTTTTTTTTTATTATTAAATTATTATTATTGTAGACTGAAGTAATTGACAGCTATGTTTTGTTTTATTCTTGGTAAGGGTTATAAGGTTTGTGAATGGATGTATTTGAAAAGTACAAAATTATATATTCAAACAAAATGATTATTATTGTTTTATTAAATATATTACATTTTTATCCTTTTTTTAATAGGGCGAGTGAAAATCTTTTTTAACTGGGATATTAGAAAAAAAAAAAAAACATTCATAGCATTTCACCCAGTATAAGTCTTAACATGTATTCATAATGCTCCTAAAAATGTCTTAAATTTAACTTAGTGAAACCTTCAGAAACCCTGATTTAAGTGAATTTGAGAATTAAAGTTTTGTTTACAAACAGCTTGGTTAATCTCTGCATCTTTATCAACAACTTGTCTTGTCATTTAAGAATTAGGTCAAGTCATTTTGTGTGCATTCGAATGCTTTTGACCACTTGAGCATTTCTACTACAAGCAATCCAATCTGGTGTAATCAAACAGGGCCTCACACTTCTTGTAAATAAAAAGTCTTAACTAACCTTTTAATTGCAATAAGTGTTTTATTTTATTTTTATTTTATTTTATTTTTTTGCTAACCAAATACTTCTTCATATTTTACCATGTTTTATCAAAGTCAAACTATTATAATGATCTTTAATATAATATTTTAGCTTCCAGCAACCCCCAAAATTGAGTTCTCCCCATTGGATGCTTGGAACTCAGGTAAATGCCTCTGTATTTAGTGACAATTATATGTAATTAATTTTACTACACACAGTATATGAATATACTATAGTTATGTAATCGCTCCATTTCTTTCCCCCAACTCAGGGGTCCAGAAGTCTATCCACGCTTTATCGGTTGCTCCGTCCACAGTTGGTGACTACACCAAACAAGGCCTGCAATACGTTAAAGACCTGTCAAAATGAATCTTCAGCATTAGTGTAATATGCTGTCAAGAAATTTCAATCATTGAGAAGACTTGGACAAATCAAGAAGCGATTTCCACTTCATATATACATCACAGACTGAATTCCACTCACTTTTGAGAAACAACTATTGGAAATAATGAAGATTCTACTTGTGCAAACCAAAATATGTCCTTGTTTGTGCACATGTTCTCCAGATAGAAATACAATTGTCAAAAATGAACCCTAATTTCAAATAATAAGAGCTCGTTCTTTGTGTATTGTTACTCAACACTTGTATTTATTTGGGAAATCTTTTCCTGGAAATGCTCTGTTCTGGTTTTGTCCCATCTGTAATTTTACAAAAGCACTATAACAGAGGTTTGTATAGTTTCCTGTATTGCTCTGTCTAATGTAAAAATATATTGCGTCAAATATTTTGAGGGATATCTTTTTTTTCTGTGTGATTTGCATGGTTCTACTACTACTTTACAAGAAAATGACTTACGAAAACAATTGGATGATCAGTTAACCACATCAAATGCTTCATTAGTAACACTATTCATTTATACCACAGAGTAAAGCTGCATTCGTGTGAAGTTAGACCTCAACCCCTTTTTTCGCCTCTTGACTCATTTTGAAAGTCATGCAGAGGTCATTTATATATATTTGTATTACCAGAAAATATGCTCAGACCATGTGTGTGCATGGAAACTATTTCAGTTTTCTTCATTTTTTAGTTTGTTGTGCCCTACATTGTTAAGCAAGAAAGCAAAGCATGTGATATGATCAAAAACGTCATGTACCACAATATACAGTCTTATCGTGATTGTTTTTAATCTGGGTTTTTAGGACAATTGGGGTTTAAGTTTCTGAGAATTTAGACCTTAAAGTGCTCAAACTTAAAGTAGAGCTGGACGATTTTTAAATGTTTCTTAACTTTGGCCAATACAATATAATTCTGATGTCGATCTTTGGATGAAAAATACTTTTTTTATTGTTAGTTGCAAAGTAATTGATTTAAGAATAGTGTTTTTATATATTAAAAAAAAAAAACTTCTTGCATTGAGTGTTGTGTTAATACTGTCATCGGTGAAATCTGTCTTTTGGTGCTGAATTTAATATCAATGTCAAGCACATCCTGCTTGCCTTTGGGGGTACAAATTAATATTTTTGATGAATTCTGAGAGCTCCCTCATCCAGACTTCAAGTCACAATATACACAAATATCCTGAAAAAAAGAGCATGTAGTGGTTCAACTTCAATCAGAATATTATGAATATTATTGTCCTCAGTGTTATTATAGGGTGCGCATTCACAAGAGCACTACTGTTTTCATGCATGTCGCACTCAGTTGAATGCATGCATTGTATACGTCAATGCACAATTCTTGTAAATGACCCCCCTATACTGACAAAACTGATTGGAAAAAAATAGTTTAATGTGCATGCAAAGGAATTCTTGTAGCATAATAAGATTCTGATTAAACCACTGAAGCTGTTTGGTCTGTTTTGATACTTTTAGGAACTTTAAACAGATTGTCACCATTGCTATATATGAAGGATAAGAGAGCTCTCAGATTACAATTTGTATTCCGAAGACCAATGAAGGTCTCACAGGTTCGGAATCGGAACAAACTGAGGGAAAGTAATTAATAACATAATTTTCATTTTGGAGTGTATTAACCCTTTAAAGCAGGGGTCACCAACTTTATTTTTGGATATCTATCTTCCTGCAGATTTCAGTTGCAATTCCAATCAAACACACATGTCTGTAATTATCAAGTGCTGTCTCGGGTCCTAAATAAATGGGTTCAGTTGTATTTGATCAGGGTTGGAGCTGAAAGGTAGAAATCAATGGCTGTTTTCACCTGCTTACTCCATGTGTATTTTTATTTGTTTATATTTTCAGGTCAGATAGCTATCCAATCATGATATGGGCAGCTGTAAATGTCCTCTGAAACGTATTTGAGTGTGATATAAATCCGATCTCCTTTGCAGTCCTTTGCAGGAATTAACGGTATTCAACAACCAGACCCCTTAAGGAACGGGTCAAGAATGCATTCCAGACAAAACTGGACAGGTCTAAATGCATCTTATTGTCAAGTAAATTTTACTCAACCCAAAATAAAATAAAAAAAAAACCTTGAGAGTGCACATGTTGTGGGTTATATGACTGTCAGACAATGTACAAGCACAAATGCTGAGGCAACAGAAGGCCACAGTTGACCTTTGAGATGTTTGTTTGAAGTGTTTTAATGTAATTTTATTTCTGACTGAAATGAAAAGGGAGGAATAATAATAATAGAAAACTAAAGTGCAGTGTTCATTTACAAAGGCACATCGCTTCATTTATGGGTGAGTATGTTATACATAAATTAATTTAAACCCTTTACAGTATTCAATGATGTCTTGCACATATCTGTATGACAAATTAGCTGCTTTTAATGAAAGTAATTTTGCCAAGGAGGCAGGAGCCTACCTTGTTTTATTGCCCAGTGGCGCCTGCAGCCGTACGGCTGTATGCACTGTTCGTACCTACCATAAGAGGGGTGAAAATTAACCCCTGGCGTCGAAGACCGCGTATACGCGTTCTGACAAGTTTTTACCTCATTGAGCTGAAATTAACCTAAATTACACTTTCAGTTTTGATTGTACAGATAAGATCAATATATCAATCGAATCTGTTAGGTGTCTAGTTTTAAATGTGTACACTCCCAACAAAAACAAATGTGTTTGCTTTTGCAAAACAAGGATAATAAACAGTGTAAGCAATCTGTCTTTTCTCTCTCCGTTTTTAGAAACGGGTCAGTAAAATGCGCTGAAACTCAGTGAAAACAAAACACCCAGACATGAGACACATATCTGTATAAAGTTTGAAGTGTCTACTTTTAAATGCAGCTATGCATGTTAAAAACAAATAGGCTATTGTTTGATAAAGTAATCACTCAGTATGAAACCAACGCTATATCTAGTTTAGTTTCTCAGTCTGAGCTCATTAGAGTTAATGCGACCACGCCCACGAGGCTTTGATATTCTTTGAATTTCCTTTCATGTAATCCGTATAACAGTAAGGACTCCTGTCGCCTCATTACAGCGAACGTGATCCCGCCCACAGTGAAGGCACAGTTCATATGGAAATGAACTGAAGGAGCCAACCAGGTGATGATGTACACGCTCCCCGAGACATGACATCAAACGACAAGCTTTTATAGTTACTTATTTTTGTTTGAATGATGGCACGTTACTGAAGTGAAGAAGCACGGTACTAAACAGCGACAAGAATTTACTTTCTCCTCAGAGGAAGAGCGCGACTCTGACGACGAGCGCATGCATTTAGAAGAACGTCTTGACCCAGCAAAGGACAGAATTCCTGTCGAAGTCTTTTATTCAAACCTTTATGATTTATATGAAATATGTCATTATAGGCCACTTATAGTTTCATTGCTATACAAAGTGTATCCTATAACGTATAGCGTATAATGATAAACATAGGCCTATATAATGAAAAATGTAATGTTATATGAAATAAATAATTATTTATATATATATATATATATATGCATTATTATTTTTATTATTATTAATATATGTATATTATAAAAATAAATACTTGTTTACAATACAGGTGCTGTTCTGTTTAAAATTCCTACGTGGAAACTGAGTTCATTAGGTCAACTAGTATCGAGTTATTTTGTGTGATTAGGTAAATACATTTTAAATAAACTGCAAACAATATATATATATATATATATATATATATATATATATATAAACTACTTTTTTTTTTCTCAGATTCTTTCTTGAAACTCATACCTGTCTGATGGCTCATTATGCAGCTCATTATGCAGGTCTTTGTCGTTGTGTGACTCACTGCATAGTAATGATAGTTCACGTTTTCTCGCATAAACCATTTTCACACAGAAAGTGACTTAGAAATTTTAATTCATTATATTGTTTTCTGTGAGCAAGTGAACAAGATGATTCTCACATAATTTTGAAGCAAAAACACCAGACTACAATATCCAGTTCTGAAAAGTCCTGTGCACAAATGGTCTCTGTGTGTTTTACGGCCTTGTTTCAGTGGCTTCAAAATTTTAGTTTTTCCCCTACCACGCATTAACGTTTCTTTCTCAAAAACACAAACACATACAAACATGCTGCTTAAGTATTATTGTAGCCCAATTTGTGCTGTTTACAGTGTTATCACACTTTAGCCATTAATATGTTTTAAAGATACTGAAAACAACAATGTCAGTGCATGTCAAAACTTCTCCAGAGCCCCAAAACACCCTCAGACCCCAGAGGGTTAATGTAGCTTTTTAAAAAAAAATAAAAAATTTACATAATTTAAATTGATTATTAAACCATATACACTACGATATATTGACAAAGCAAGAAAGAATGACAACAAATAAAAGTGTGCGTTTGTGTGTTTTAAAGTGTATGAACTTGCATGGAAATCTATTGGCTTTAGTTTTGCTAGTGTTTTTTTCCACACACTAACAATTACAATTCAGATAGCTATTGTTTAAAACAAGGCTCAAAATGAGTAAATACTCTTTAAACAAATAAACTTCATTGAGACATTTGCCAAAAGGCCTAAAACTACTGAGACAAAAACTAATCCTAATGGCTACCATTCAAGGTGTTTTAAACAAATTTGTCTTACATACTAGCATAAATAAGCAGACATCTCCATTCTCATGAGTTTGAGTTTTCTCACCTTTTCAACCAAGTATGTTTAACCGAGGTAATTTGGAAACATGTTCAGCGCTGTTGCAAAAAAGGCTACTGTGTAAATCCCTGTCCTGCTCATTTAAATTATTTGATTAATGATTTAACAGTTCAATACAGGCTTCTCTGAAACTGAATATCTCACTTTAATTTTATGTAGGGTAGATTATTTTTTTATTTGACAATCCAGGTAGTGATTTGGCATTGTTGAAGCATATAGCGGATTTGTTTTGAAGCACTTCACCTCAAATGTTATTCATTCTTCTATTTTATTTAGAAGGTAGTTGACCAAGAAAAATATTTAAACAAAGAGACTCTATATATGTAAAAAATATATATTTTTAAAGAAAATTTAACAAATTATATTTTTATTTGAGCTCGTCAATTACTCAACTGTGCGGGTGGATGATTTTTGGTCAGTGGAAAGTAAGGATTTAATCAGTGCTTCACTAATTGTATTGTATCACAATCTTCTGTCATATATTTACACATTTTTTTAATATGTCATAATTTTAAAGATTACATCTTAAGCGTCTGGTTTTCTCTTGGTGCTGATGTGCTTTATTACATTTAGATTTCAACAAAATACTAAAATTAAAAAGGAAGTGAATTATGTCATACCGAATGCCCT